ATCGACATGTCGATGTATGCGTCTTCGAATGGTATGTCGGTCAATCCATTGTAACTCTGCGCGCGCGTAGGTTCAATCAATTCATTTCGACCACTCGTTTCAATAATAAAAACAAATTTTTTTTCATTCCTTCATTGTCGCGTCTCGTTCTTAAGCGCGTGCGATCGGAGATTCGGAAAAAGGTCGTAAACTAAAAGCATTTTCGAAAAAGTAAAGATACAAAACTCTCTCTGCAAAAAGGGAACACAAGTCTCGAATTAATGCATTTCTCGTTTTCAGTAATTTTTTTTTAAGCGCATCGAACGAAAAGTTTCAACTTGAAACGCGTCGCGGACTAACCAAGATTGCGGTATACGTGAAACCACTGCCATAAGCAGTACATCGAGCTGCCGCTAGAGAGATGCTCTCCGTACAAAATTTCAATCTTATCGTCGACTGTGAGAACATTCCTCGTATTCTTCTACTGTCACACACATTTTTCCCGGCTGAAAAGAGATATTTCTTACGCGAGCTCTCTTGTGCGAGAGCTCTTGTGTGCGATAGTAATGACATACTCGGAATAAAAATGACGATGACACGTGTGCAACAGAAAAAGAAATTTCGCGTATCTTCCACTTTATATTTTTACATTATTTATGTGTTGCGCGTTTATTTCAGACGTTTCTGCAAATAAATTTATTTTTAGAATTCAACCATTTCCACGAGATACAAGTTAAATGAAACGCGAAATAGGAAATATCAATTGAGATAGACATCTCGCCGCGTAAATTTTATATTTTATGAAAAAAAAAAAAAAAAAAAATGATATTCGATCAGAAGTTCGCGTCGTCGGAAAAAAAGAGACAGAACGAGTACTTTTTCAAACACACGTCAAATGACATATCGTCAATGACAACGCAAACACCCACGCGTCACCTTCTTTCGAATACGGATTTACCCACGTGTCGCGGCGCGACAACCCACACGCGTGTCACACTTTGAGAATTCATGAATAAAAGTGTTTACCGAATTAGGACGACAGCATCCAATCAGAAACTCTCCACGTCCGCATCCGGCGAAATTCGAACCCAAAGCCTTGATCGATCCTCTCTCTCGCAAGTTTCCCCGTCAACTCCCTCGTCGAAACTTTCAGCAGTCGGGCGATCTCGAAGAGCGGATTTCTCTCTCTCTTTCTCTCTCTCTCTCTTTCTCTCTCTCTCTCTCTTTATCTATCCCTCTCCCCGATGGAGAGACGTCCTTTCAACAGGTACTTCCCGCCTTTTTGCGTGCGAGATCGTCTCGCGGATTACGAAGGAATTGTACGACGTGACGACATTCATGAGAGGGTGGAAGAAACGCCGACAGATTGATTCGCCGCCGCGTTGTCGTCGTTACACGTTGAGAACTGACTGACTGAAGCGCCGAGGCGATAATCGAGCTCGCGCGCGCTATTTTGTGCACACCGGAGAGAAAGCCTTTTTCCGCGCAGGATCGATAAAGCGATACGTTATAAAATGCATACGCGAAACGCAAAACTCTCTCGCGTCCGAACATTTGAGGAAAATTACTCATATATGTATATATATGTATATATATATATATACATATCCCCGCTGCGTTTGAATTATTAATTCTCACCACCGTACTCAGACACACACACACACACATTTTTGCTTTTGAAGGCGCGCAATTTCTCCGCGGGGGATATTAATTCCCGCATTATTTAATCACCTGTGTGCGAACTCATCAGGTCTTGTTATCGTCGTCGTCGTCGTCGTTGTTGTTGGTTACGTTGCGTCGCTCGCGCTACGACTTACTGTGCGCACGTACTGATAATAAAATCATGCAAATTCGCAGCGAGACGATAATGGCGCGAAAGAATCCGCGTGTATGTGTCTGCTGCGCGGAATTATTGTGAGAAGTACTCGCGAAGACGCGAGCTAAAATTTTGCGCCGTATACGCGACGTTAACGTTCGCGCGACTTGAGTTATTATCGTGAATAACATTACACGCCGAGAGTTCGCCGAGTATTATTGTATTTCCGACCCGCGCACGACATTGCGCACATAAAGACATCACGCGGTATATTTGACAACGTGGTATTGTTACGAGCTCCCCCGTGAAAACGAAAAGCGCGTAACACGACTTAAAAAGAGCCGAACGACGCGACGAGCAGATTTTCGCGCGTGAAATAATCGCACGAAATTGTAAATTTTGTTTGTTTGTTTGTTGTTTTGTTTACTCACGATAGAGTTACACACACGCGCCTGCGCGTACTATACGCGCGCGTATATTTTCAGACACGGAGAGAGAAGAGGATGTGTGCCTCGCGAGCGAGAACGAAGAAGAGCGTTGGAGCAGGAATGTCTGAATTATTGTTTGACGTTCTAATGGGATATACGCGGGAATATTTAATTAAGCCGACATAATAATGAAGCGAGCGAGGCTGCCGTCCGCGCGCCCGTCCGCCCCCGTTTCTGACCAAAACATTCCGGTGCCGTGTGTCGTGTCACTTCAACGTTTTAGTCCAGAGAGAGAGTATATACGTCCGTTTGCATTACGCTTCGCGGTAATGCCTCGGATGAACGTATCTCTACACGATATTCATAGCGACGCTTAACACGGCTTTTCTCCGCGCTTCCACGCACACACACACGCACACACGTTCACGTTTACGCGCAAAACGTCGCGATGGAAATTAATGCGTCCGAGAATGCGTAATTGGGAAATTGTCGTGTTTTCGGTGTCGACGACGAGACGCGCCATCGAGGATATGTATCGCGATAATCACATCGATTATTTGGACCGACAACAGGCCTGATCGCTCGCGATTGCGTATTACAAAGTAATAAATAAGAAAAAAACGTAATAAACAAAAAACGCGCAACCAAACTTATTGTAAAAAAAAAACTACGAGAATAATTATTACCGAGAATTTTAGTAATTTAATTCACTTGGCAAAAGCAAATGTTCTCCTCGGGAAGGAGGTTTATATACCGACCGGAGAGGTAACAAGAGCGGAACAACGCGAATTTACCGTATTCGCGATTAGCAAGATGCGTGTAACGCATATATGAGCGCTTAGCGTGCGGGTGTAAAGTGCAAAGAACATGGCTTTATGTAAACTTCCGCAAGAGACAAATTTGCGTTTCACTAAATGGGAGGAAACAGCTTGGAAAACTAAAACAAATTCTTGCATTTTGCGTACGAAACGTGCGCGCAAAAACATCAAAAAATATGAAACTATTGGATTTTCTTAGGCACATATGTATATTTTCAGTAAAAAAAAAAAAACGTTCCCTGTATTAATAGAGTGTAAAAAATGCATTTTATCCTCTACACAAATACGTAACATAGTTTCATAATATCACGCGCGTACGCGAGAAAATTTAAAGAAGGTAACTAACGTTAATTCTGTTATTTGTTTTTTTTTTTTTACATTATTTGTTGGCAAAGTTAAAGTCAGCACATTTGCCGATTATTTGAGAATGAGCAACGTATAGCCGGCACTAAGTACGACTCGCAAATATTAGATGTATCGGCTACGTTTAAAGGCTAGCGGCAGCAATTACTATGCTGTGTCGAGGTACGATCGACCCGTGCGTTTCCGCTGGATTAATTGCCCCTAAAACGGGGCCAGAGACCCCGGTGCAATAGGGGCGGCAGAGGGTATAGGGAACTCGGCTCGCGGGGATGAGTGAGCTCGAGGGCGCGATTAAATCACGCTCGTTAAATCGAAACGGTCGGCGCAGCGCCGCAAAAATTGGTAGCTCGTTTATTTCGGCCGGGCTCTAAAATCAGCAGTGTATGACGGGGGACGAGCGATGAAAAATTAATGAGCCCTCCGGTTGGCCACAATCCGGGGTCAGTCAAAAAGAGCGGGGGAGATCGGGATATGGTCGGTCGGGGTTATCCGGCGAAAACAAGAGAACAATGACAGAGGGAAAGAGAGAAAGAGAGAAAGAGAGAGAGTTTTCACGAGTCCGTGAGTTCGACCTATCGATATTATACTTTTTTCCCTCTTTTTACGCGTCTGACCGCGCGACGAAATTAAACGACCGCGCCGCGCGTTGTCAATCGCATATAAGTAAATTCGATCCGTCAACGGAGAAACCTCTCTGTCAATAGTCACCTTCAACGCGTTCGTGACGTTTATGTATAGATGCCTATATGTATTTATACATATCGAACATTTCCCTTGTACATATACATTGGCACACCCACGAGCGCGAGAAAACGAGTCTCGCGACGCGATCAGATGACATTTAATTCTGAATTCTGACCGATAAGTTCGTGTGAAAGAAGAGTCCACACTCTACAGCCTCTCCTTTCTGTCGCATATAATACATTTATTTTAATCTCACTGCTTCATTTCTTTCGTCACGTGTCGTCCGTACAGAAATAACACAGAGGATAATTTAACTTACAAAACCTCTGAAAATATTGCGAAAATATCGTACATATCGTTTTTCCGAGGAGCTTTTTCACGCTCGTTCTTCAACAAATTTCTATTTCTTCTTCCACCGCGCGAGTGAATGTAACTTTCGACTCGATTCCCGATCGAGTGGCGAGAGTACCTCCCAATGTCAAATTGGCGAGCTCCGCGGCGGAGATTCTTTCCCGGCGGCGTGAGAGAATTTTTAATGAAAATTACTACTGGAGGGAAACCCAACGAAGCGAGAGAAGAGAGAGTCTCCCCCGGTAATCTCTGACATCTTGTTATAGCGCGCGCGCGCGACCTCTTCGTTCAATTAAAGCGTCAGCGTCCGCGCGCGAGAAACTTTTATATGAATGGTTTTCATTACGTCGCGGACTTATTAAGGGCGTCTTCGCGCGCTTGCGGGCATTAATATCACGTCGTCGTTGCAACGACGAGTTTTGTTATCAAGCGCGACCATTCAACCCGCGCCGACGGAACTGCCCGCGATACTATTTTAACGTTAGCGCGCGAACTCTCGGGGCTGCGAGATTTGCAAAACTCTCTGAGAAAACCTTCCGCACGAGAGCAATAGATACGTACCCGCTCGCGTTGCCTCGTTTCAAGAGTTTCTCCGAAAGATTCCTGAATGAACCAAAGAGAGTCCCAATGTCCGCGAAGAATCCGCTGGTTTCAATTATTTCGATCTGAAAAAAAAAAAACAAAGAGACATCGGTATTGTTAGCGCAGTTTAGGTTTTTCTTCTGTTTTATTGTCATCGAATGGAAACACGCGCCGTTATTGCGTCGCCGGTGGCATTTTATGTTCGGCATAAGAGGCGGAAGTAATTCGTTTGTTGCGCGCGATATTAAAGGGTTAGTAACAATGGCCGGTAATTTGCTATTCGAAGTCACGCCGCAGAAATGTATTCTCGCGTGATGATGTATGCATCACGCGCGTAATCGTACAGCTCGATTACACGATCGCGCGCTCTTTCTTTCTTTCTTTCTCTCTCTCTTTCTATACGTTCAAAACTATGACGACCGACCGCGGTGATAAAACAATTCGTGATAAATTGCCAGGCGAGATGTGCGTCCCGCGCTCCATGCCGACTGCGACCCCGGTGACAGCTTCGCCGGGGTTAATAAATATAACAAAAAAAAAAAAAAAAAAAAAGAGCAATGAGAGAAACGTGTCAATTACATCGAAATGAAAATTACAAATTTTGATGGAAAACCGCGCACACGTCCGTGCGCAAAATACGCCGGAGAAGTTCTTTACAGAGAAGACGGTACAGTGAGATATCACGTGCTGCTTGCTTTCGAAATCGTCTGAAATAAACCACTTAAAAAAAAAAAGAAAAAAAAAAAGATGATGTGGCAGTTCGCACTCCGGAAAGAACTGCGGACTAAGTGGAGGACAGGTGACGCGTTGGAATTATGCTTGAGCAACACGCAAAAGTAATTCAAGCGGCGGGTGTGTTCTCCTCCCGCGTGATATTCCGCAGAGCGCCAGTCCCCTTCGCGGACTTTCCGGCTGTAATGAAAAATTGCGCATGCTCCATCTCTTAAGTACGTCCGAGAAGCCGATTCTCCTGCCGGGAGCAGGAACCAACACCGGCAACCCGCAACGTGCACGATAGTTTCTCGCCAGACTCGTGCAATTTCGCATCGAGCGGGCAAAGGAGTAAGAAACGAGCGACGCGAAAAGGGGAAGGTAAGACAGATGGAGATGACGGAAAAAGAGCGCGCTAACGAAAAAAAAAAAAAAAAAAACACAAGAATCGCAGAGGAACGACAAAATAATGAAACAAGAAACCTACGTAACGCTCCTCGGAGTGGTAACAATGCAGCACTCGGTTGCATTATATAGAAAATATATAAAATATAAATACACTTATCCCTTTTTTTCTACCTCTCCTTCTCTTTCTTTTTCTATTTATCGTTTTTTCCTTTTCTCTCCCTTTCTGATCTCGCGTCCAGCGAGATGAAAAGCAAACCGTTAGCGCACGGAAATGGACCTACACACCGAGTGCGCTCGGGCATCCGCATTAATGCATCACTAAGTAACTCGCGGTAATGAGCGAGCGGTTGCACTTGCAAGGACGGAAGGAGAAGTTGGAGGAGGTAAATATTCGCGCGCGGAGTAAGTGCGGGAAACAAGTAACGAATAATATTGCGTCCTTTGCCGTTCGACTTCCTTCCCGTCGGGTACTCGAGTGTGAAATAGTAGCCTTGAGAGTCTCATCTCGCTCGCGCTTTCACGGAAATATCCTTACAGTTAATTACACACAGCATCGTTCGCTCTCTCTTATATAAGAAAGATCGTTATTTATATTCGAAACAACGCGAAATAAAAAAAAAAAAGTGGTTTCCGCGCAGATTAAAAAGGCAGATATTTCGCCGGGCGCGAATAATAGACCACTGAGAATTGAACTCGCAGTGGTAGTCGGTGTTTCACCGGAGAACACCGGAATACAACCGTGGATTCCGCGACCATTAAGGAGCAACAATGTAAACGTGTCGACGAAAATATACGACGGCGCCTTGCGTCGTTGCGCGTTTTCAACGTAACGCGCTTCTGTTTTACAACGCTTCTCTACGGCAGTTAACTTCCCGCTAATTAAAATTTAGATATCCCGGAAGGTGTTGATTGATGGGAATGCGCGAGTAGAGAAATGCGCGTGGTGGTTTGTGACAAGTGAGTTCGCGCGAGGAATTGATCGATATTGAAAAAATTTGCTTCGTCTAATTTTTCAACTGAATAAATTATCCACAAAATAAAAAAAAAACGATACAAAATAAATATTATCGAAATAAGTTAATATCATTATCAAAATAAATTAATAAATTATCAAACTATAAATTAATACATTAACATATATATATATATATATATATATATATAATTAAATTATACGCATTAAGAGTTTATTTGCATCAGAGACAACAAATAGCGTCATACGAGTGCGGGGCAAATTTGCAAGCTCTCTCTCTCTCTTTCTCTCTTTCTCTCATTCTCTTATTAAGCGACGGGCGTTGGTTGGCCAGCGTCACCGTAAGGCTCGAAACTGACAAAATTGACAAAATAAGCAATTTGTATCTTATCCATCACGTACGAGCTTCTTATTACGCGCGTGTTTCCGTTTCTCTCTCTTCGTTTTCCGCACTTCTCGTTCGAGGTCCTTCGCAACGCGCGCAAATTCGTGCCCCGCAATTTCGCCGTAATTTAATTTAACGCGACATCGTCCGAGCAAACTTTCTCGCTTCCTAAAATCCCCTAGGAGCTACGCTGTCGTCGCTGCTTGAAGCGGTCACAAGCGGAATGGATTTTTACTCGCTCTTCCGTTCCGCGCGTCACCCGGTCTCTGTCGCGCTCTAATTTACAGACTGATTTTTGGCGAAATTGCGAAAACGGAGTTAGCAAACGCGCGGAGGGAGGAGGAAGGGAAGAGGTGAGGAGCGCGAGAAATGATTGCGCGCGCGAAGCGATGTGGAAGCTTCATTTCGAATTTCGAGGTAAACATATTCGTCGGATTCAATTAGAGTATAAACTACTTCCTGCGCGCGTTGAAACCTCAATATAAATTCCATCCTGTTACGCGATAATCCAGGATTATTATCGTTATTATTATCCGATGAATAAATTATCGTATCACTGCGAGTATAAGTGCGTGTGTGCGTGCGCGTATCGTTGTATATTTAATTTATATTCACGCGAGTATGTAATTCCGCCAAATCGGTTTTAAAACACTGCGGAAAACAGAATGATATATAGGGTGCGAGTTTTAAGTCAGTTTGTTTGTTTGTTTTTTTTTTTTTTATCTCTATTCTCTTGACACACATACACGCGCAGAAGCGTTCCAGGCTACTAGTTTCACATTAGCCTTATTTTTCCTACTTTTTTTTTTTTTTTTTTNTTTTTTTTTTTTTTTTTTGGTATCGCGCTGCAGTGCTTCGTTGAGTCGTTTGATAGCGGATTTGTGGAGCTCGCTCTCGTGCTGCGTTCGTGCACGATCCTAGTAATTTGTCGCAGCGGTGCATTCAACACTGCGGATCGAGAGGATTAAGAGCATCCATGGATACACGAGCGGGACCGGGTCGAGAAAGCAGTTTGCGTTGATAGCGTGCGATCTTTTCTGTCGTCAACGGTAAGCCGCAAATAATAAATCAGACATCGCAAACAAATCTCATAGCACCGCGAATAATATATCACATAAATAATCGTAATAACATCGGAATGAATTTCTACACACATCAATAATTTTTAAAGTAAATCTTAACAATGAGAGAAAAATATACGTATGATATGCGTATATATACATACGCATATGTTTTTATAACATCCGGGCAATGTATACAGCGTATTTTTTAACGTTTTAATATTTCAACAACCGAAACTTTGTTGATTTTAAGCAATCCGGTTTCCGCTAATGGTCGTACAGGGGAGGGGGGGGATTCTATTCGGGATGGATTTGCAGTACGGATCTGTTTCCCGTTTTCGTGTTATATCGGAAATGTCGTTTCTTGTCTCTTCCGTGTGATTGCGCTAAAGGTATTCGCGTCGCGCGATTTTATGGATGGTGACAACGGAAGCGCATAAAAGCACGACGAATACGTTCGACGATGCGCATCGAGAAAATGCACGCGTGGCAGAAAAAAACAAAACGCAAAACGAAAGTTCAAGTTCTTTTTGTAGTTTCGTCTTAATTTTGTTTTTCTCTTTGCAAATTTTTCAGATCGTCGAACGTTTCCTTACTCCACGATAAGCCGGATGATTCCGAAGGCTGACTTGTCAAAGACACCGCGCGCGCTTCGGTTCTGTACGTGAAACCGAATCAATTTGAACAAACATTTCGAAATGTATAATTCATCCGACAAGTTGAACGTATTAGAAATATCGGTGTTTGATCGTTTTTCTTTTACATTAAAGTAAAGAAAAAAACCTTACAAACCGCTTTGAACAAACATTCCGCTGATTCAACGACCATTTGTTAGTGACCGATGTGAGTGTGTTCCTTCCGAATTTGTGTGCAAATGCGTTCCCAAAAAGTTTGTTCCGGTGTGGAATTACGACAACGGAATTAACATTCGCTCGATAGACGACAATTTGTCTTTGCGTCATTAAAATTCTTCGAGAAATTCCCAGGAGTTTCCCACAGCTGAAACATCCTCCAACAACCTTCCGACCGGAGTATAGTCGAGTCCTCGAAATGTCGCAAAAAGTTGGCCGATGTTAATGGGTCGGTACGATTACGTGAACCGCAAAGCAGCAACCGCGCAAGAGAGATAGAGGGAGAGAAAACGAGAGAGAGAAAGACGAGAGCGAAGAACAAAGTACCGTTATTCCCTGCGCCAGAAGATGCAGCGGCGATACTCCCGAGCTCCTTGGAGCGCGTCATACCACTGTGGACCAAGTTCTCTTCGCTGTTGAATTATGCATGATTTCTTGCCCTCGGCCGTCACTATGGCCGCTAACCATCGGCGTCACTGCCACTTTCGCCGACGCCTTATTTAATAAACGCGACAAGATCTCCGGTTATTAAGAAAACAAGCGGCGATCTTGCAAGAAGCTTGGATGGGCGAATATTACGTACGTGTATGCGCGCGCGTGTGTATATTCAAATGAGTTTGATATGTCGTAAAGCTAAATGTGGGTATAAAATCCGCATTTCTACATTTTCAGTCACTTCAAAGTCCTTGCATAC